TATATATATATATATTAGACTAGACTACTAGACTTAATTTCGCTTATTATTAAACCTTTTAGACTTTTTATTTTAAGAATAATCTTTCTTATTTTGGTTATTTATATACTCGTTTTCTTTTTTAAACTAGTAGGCCTTTATAGAGCCTCTTAAAAGTAATTTATATAAGAAATTTTAATAGTAACTTTATAATATAAGAGACTCGCCTATAAATTAGTAATAGATTTAGCTAAAAATAATATATTTTCTAAAGTCTTTCTTACTCTTTAAAATTATTAAATTTTATTTAAAAATATTTTCTCTACGCTACGTTATTATAAGTTAAGTTCGATAGTTAAGAATTTAGTATTTCTAGAATACGTCTGTGCGGATAACCGTGCGCGCCTGCTTATTACCCGGCGGCTTTTCCCTAAGAAAAAGTGTGCATACGCGATTATACCGCCGACCCTCGCATAAACCGATCCTTGGAGGCCCTGTACTACAACGTGCCGCTGCAGTCGCTGCGCAGCGTCACCGCCGAGTTCCCCTCCGCCCGCGCCGATTGCCAGCTGCTGGTGCCCGAGAGCCTGTCCGCCTTGGCGCTGTAAGGAAAACTTCCGCGTTGGTGCGTGGACCTGTAGTCACGTGACCTCGGCTGTACACTTGACATCATCTTCGTCCAGCCTTACTCTCGTCGAGCCTCCTCTTCTCGATTAACGGCCCGAACGTCTTCTCGCCTGTGGGCAGGCTATGGGAGCTGTTTTCATTATCGAGAACTCCCTGGATGAACCGAAGCTGGAGCCAACCAACCCAAGAAGCTAGACATACGGCAAATGGCGATCCTACGAAGTTTGTTGTCATTGAAAGAAAGAAGATGCCCGGGAGATGAGCGGGTTATGTCACAACGGATATTTGCCACCGCTTTGAATGATCTATCAGCCACCCATCGGGCCACTCCGCTTCCTTTGAAAGGCCCTACCGAGACATGTAAGATATGTCGGGACTTGAACCTGGATACCCACTTGGCCAAAGCCTTCAAAGGGGGTTATGCTGCTTTTCAAGCGCGACTCTCGAAAGCCCCAATTGGATCTAATTGCAACATGTGTAGGATGACGCGAAACATCCCGACCGAACTCGGGCTCACAGCCGATTGGGTGGTCTACAAGGTGAAGTACGGCAATGAGCTCCTCGGAAGTTTTGCCCGAGAGGAAACGTTTCGGGTAGCAGCATTCCCGTATGTTGGCGACACGCGCTTGGTCGAGATCCTCACCTACTACCGGCAGGGACTACGTTACCATAGGCCTTTAGTGGCTGCGGATCCAATGAATCTACCCCTGATTGACTGGAATTCGCTAGCTCGCGACCTAGCTCACTGCCAGAATACTCATAGTGAGACGTGCAACGCCACACAACCAGCTTTCCGACATCCCATCCGGCTGATCAATTGCGAATCACAGAAGATTGAGCCGGCCGCAGCCGATGCTCGATATGTCGCTCTCAGCTACGTCTGGGGGCTTTCCAAGCCTGTCTACGAAGTCCATGGGGATGACGCGGTTCTGCCAAATCCCGTCGAAAGCACGATCGAAGACGCCATGTTTGTGGCCAAGACCATCGGATACAAATACATCTGGGTCGACCGATTCTGTATCAACCAGAAGGATCCGAACAAGTTTCTGCAGCTTCGTCAGATGGACTTGATATACCGGAATGCCGACGTGACGATCATCGCCGCCGCGGGCGAGGATCACAACTACGGGCTGCCGCACGTTCGTGACAAGAGAGCAGAGCCGCCCGCCGTCTGCAAAGTCGGGAAGTATGTCATCGCAGAGGTTGCCAACGAAAACAGACAGGAGAATCTTGTCGTGGAGTCCAAGTGGAATACGAGAGGGTGGACTTACCAGGAGGCCATATTTTCTCGGCGGCGGCTGGTCTTCACCGACCAGGGTGCATCGTTCCACTGCAACACCACCGAGCTATCCAGGGAGTCTGACGGACGGACGGTTCGTTACAGGAGATTCTTGAGGGAGAAGATGGCTCCACCGAGGCCGGTCTTCTCTGGACCCGGAAGGGCTCCTCAAGATCTCGGCGCACGCATGACTGAATACTCCAAACGAGACTTGACGAACGGCTCGGACATGCTCAATGCATTTCTCGGTGTTCTCGGCGCGTTCGAGGAAAGCCAGGGTCCTATTTACCACCTTTGGGGCACACCGATCTTTCCACTACGAGGAGGTTCTTCCGGATCATCAAGCATCGCGTCCGATGGGTTCCTCTACGCCTTCGTTTGGCAGATGTTCGAGCCGGCTTCCCGTCGTGATGGGTTTCCCAGCTGGTCGTGGATGGGGTGGCACGGGCGTGTTAAGGACCTCCCTTACGATTCATCGATCCTTGATTGGAAGGGCGAGTCTGGTGTTGCGGTGTCCATGGAGCTTTCAAATGGCCAACTGCAGGAATGGCCTCGACTTGTCGAACAGGATTACTTCAAAGACGACTCGGACAAGCTCTCTCGCTTCATCCACATGTACGCTTGGACGGTAAAAGTCACTTTGGAGAGTTTGCCGTCCGGAGGGTGGCGAGCGGGATTCCCTGACAGCCGTGGTGAGCTGGTTACGGAGGCGTTTGTCTTGGACGACGAGATGCTACAAAGAGACGGATACACCCAGGAAGAAAGAAATCAGTCGTTTATATGCATATTCCTTGGTCCTCCCACATCTAGCTTTGCCGCACTCCTTGTCCACCAACATGAGGCTTTTGCTGAGCGTATTGGGATCATGCGTCGGCCTCGATTCCTGTCTAGACATGAAGATGGGCTGGATTGGATCACTCCAAAGTTGCAACGCCGTTCTATAAGGCTAGGATAAGCCGACTTGCTTAAAGTTCGTGTTCGGTCGGAAGTGATGGTCGAGAGGAGAGGGAGGGATCGAAGTGTCAACCTGGAGGCCGCAACCCACGTCCGTGTAGGTACTCGCCAAACTCAAATCCAGCATTCACGCCCGCCATGCACCGCCGCTACCGTATCCCTCATGGTGGTGGCGCTCGACCTGCTTACTCTCGCCGGCGCTCACCAATCAGCACCGCTTTCGAGTCGCCGTGCTTCCACGTTCACCACCGTACCAATGCGCTTGCGTGGCTGAGTCCTCTGAGGCTCTGAGTCCTCTGAGCCCGCCGCCGTCTTGCCCACCGGCGTCGTATCCACGTCGCTCTCCCCTCTCGCACTCCAACAGTGCACACGCCGGCTTTGGCCCGAGGTTTAGCCGGGCGGAGCCGCCATCTGGCTTCTGGCTTCTGGCGACCGTAGCTGGCGCTCTGAGCAGAACACCGTACCCCGGCCGTGTCATGAGCCTTACAGCCCTCGTTTTCCCGGGCCACGACCAAGCGCCGACCAAGGTTCCGCTCGCATACCTCCACCACAACCTCTGCAATCCATGTGTGAAAGGCCGGAGGTGGACAGATTGGACACATGGAGCTGGCTTTACGACAGATGCAGCCCAACGCAAAAGGGCAAGTCGATCGGCGCGTCGTGTGTGGCACTGGTTTGCGTCAGACGCCATCGCCTATCTGATTCTCCGAAGTCTTCCCGTGCCCACAAAGAACGTCGACACCACCAGACAAGTCCCAGTCCCAGTTGCATGGCCGAAGCAGCAAACAACGGCCTCCCGAGCCTCCACTTGTTCCGCTGTCGCCGCGGCGGGCGGAGAGGCAGCAGGGCGTGGGCGTCAGTGAGGCGAAGAAGGACATCGGGCAGCTGGATCGCGAGAAGAGACCAGAAGAAGAGACAGACGCTGGCCAAGAGTAAGAAGACGAAGAAGACGGATGCGGACATGATCGGATGGCATGAGGAGTAACTTATGGCCACGTCTGAAAACTGGGTCGGTGCAAGAAGAGTCGTACCTTTCACTGCTGGCAACCGAGACAACGATATCATGTTGGGTTTGCCATGTGACTGCCCGCGCCGCCATCTTGACCTCGGTGGTCAAACATCAAGCACTTGCCCCAATAACGCTTTGATCTGTCCCTATCTTTGCCGTTCGTCTATTATTGCTTGATGCGTAGAAGAAACTTGGTTCCGTAGTCGCCCACTAGGTGGGGGCCGAGCCGAATGACAATTTCTTCGCCTGAGCGTCACCACCAGATCTTGTCAGCGGTGTACCTACGCAAGGGCGCTTGCGAAGGCGATGTGGGGGCCAGCGCCGGCGCCCTTCCCGAGTAGGATCTACTGTATCCGTAAACGGCGTGGTTACAAGTGTAGATCTATCTCCAAGGCAGTAGGCACCGGGACCTCCTGCCCTACCTCGGCCCGTTTCTGCCTACGATCGTCGTTGTTGCATGGGTGTCGAGGAAATTTTTCGCCGCCAACTCCGCTTTTGTCAGCACTCCATTCGGCGTGCGTACGTGGCCAAGTCCCGCCATTCGAATCGAGTTGACGGTTAAGGTGTGGCTTAGCGGGGTGGGAAGGCTTGTTTTGTTCCTGCTTCCGAGCTGCATGGTGATTCCAATGCCTTTTCTGCCACGGAAACAATTGGCACTGGATCCGCCTGCATGTGCTGGCGGCCAATTCCAGTTCGAAGCCCCACCCCATCAGTAAGACTCGTAGTGAATCGCCCCCAATCCGTCTCTCCACTGCATTTCCACGATGAATCCACTTCCGCAGGCAACAGCTCCTTTGCAGCCATCGGCTCCGGTCTGAGGGCTCAGCCATGTACTCGTCTTCCCAAGCATCAGAGACCTGGTGGCTACCGAAAGCAGCATGTGCTTAGGGCTACTACGCTCCATTCTTCGCGCCAGCGGACCATTCTATGGGCTATAAAGGACGGCCTGCAACACCCGTCTAGCACCTACACTCACCATCAACTACTCACTCAGCTCAACGAACCTTGATCTTTCCGTCCTCTACCATCATCATGCAGTTCTCTACCCTCCTGGCTCTCCTCTCCGCCGTCGCTCCCTTCGCGGCTGCCGACTGCTGCAGTGCAGTTGGTTACTCTGGCGCCCTTGCTAGCAATGGTCAGCCTTGCGCGGACGGCACCAAGGGAACCCCGTGCTGCGGCTACGGCTCATGCAACGCCTTCTGCTGCGCCTGCAATGGCGGTACGTTGATCACCGCCGAGCAAGCAAGAGAGACAATATGCTAACTTAACTCGGTCTACCCAGGTTGCCGCACGGCCTCCGCCAAGCGCGACTCCGGAATGCTCAAAGTCGTCGTTCGCGACCAATCCAACGACGCGGAGGATGTCGAGGCGTTCAATGCGGCTACGGCTGGCGGCACTGAGCCTCTGACCGTGCAGAGGTACACTTCGTACATGAACGCCTCCGCCGACGACCAGACCTACGTCGATTGGTTCAACAAGTAAGCCACACCCAGCCCGCGTTTGTGAGAAAACATGGCACTGATCATGTCCAGGCATGACAAGAACGGCGATGGAGTTCTCAGCCTCGATGAGGTCCGCCTCGACTGAGTCTGAGACAGTGCTCCGCTGCCAGCGCCATATTATTGAGTCATAAAACTACGGCGCACCACTCTCTTTTACGTATAATGAATTGCTCTTACCTCTGCCTGCCTCACTTATGCTTTTCTACTTGCCGCTGCTTCCATTCTGTTTTCTGTCTGTAAAGACCTCGCTATGAAAGCTTCGCGCTAAAGTAGCCCCGCCTTCACTGCCTTCTCTAGTTCGGCGACCATATTGCAGTACATGACTACCTTTCTCTCTCCCATTACCTGGAGCTCGACTCCCGCTTTCCCCTGCACCTCCTCCCCATCCCTGCCGATTAACGACCTAACAACGCACGTTCTTGCGCAATGTCGAAGCCCTGTACACTACTAACACAACTATCACCACCACCACCACCACCACCACCATCTCGCCCTTTTCTGTTTGTGAATGTGAGCGTGCGTATCGACCGGGGTGACCTCTACGGTGTCTCCGACGCTATGCCAGGTGCCTATACGGCGGGGTTGCGTAACTTGCTTTGTAAGTGTAGCCGTGCTACGGTAGGGCATGTGGAGAACGGGCGCTTTAGGAGGGAATAGGGGTCCTAGAAGCTAGGAGTCCTAGGAGCTTAAGAATCGTATCAAGTTTTGATTTTATACTATTAGTAGTCGCCACAACGCACACCGTGATTCCTGCCGTGCCAGCCACACCTCGAGAGTGTTCGCACCGTGCGAACCACACACGTCGATCAACGATGTAAGTTAAATAAAGTGGGCAGCCACCAATCGGTTAGGCATAGAAGATGTCGCGGTGGCAGCAATTCTATCTAAAAGAAAAAAATTTAATCCACGTGCCGGCGCGAGTCGCTTCACAGCTGAGCTCTAGCCGGGCCGGGGATCCCGCTCGAAGCGAAGCGGATCTGAGGGGCATCAGCGGATGCCGATTGGTGGAGCGAAGAGAGATCTGCGGCCCGTCCCACGCGTAGCGCCGTCGATCAGGGTCCAGCAGCATCTCCAGCCCCTGTGTTGTTCCTGGCTAATAATAAGGCAGTCAACAACAACGAAAGAATGTCGTCATCGAGTCTGAACGGTTCTGGCCGATCCGCGACTTTTTCAGGTTGGCGTCTTTTCCTTGTCTTACTAGATTGATTCTTAGCAGCAAAAAAAGAAAGACGCGTCGCATACTACGCCAAGCCCACGGTCGTGAAATGTATTTCGCCATCGCCTCCGACGCCTATGGGTGAACGTGCCGTCTCGCCGCCGCCTGCAACTATTGAACGCCGACGCTATGGAACAGCCATCGATTACAAATCTCTCTTCTTCACTAATCCTACAACGCAGGTTATGACTCTCACATTCCTTTGCCTTATAATGGTTATCAAGCACACGCTATGTTCCCCATGTAAGTACACGACGCCGTACCTAAAACCTTACCTACGCGATGTTAAAGCAGCCACGTTCAACGCCGACGTCGACGCTTTCGCCCAGTGTGGTCAATCGTCCGTCCATTTGAGCGCGAGCGATTTATTATATAAGCAATCGCGCGAGCGATTAATTTTGTCAACCACGCGTGCCAGTCCGCGCGATTGAATGCACGGACATTGCACGGATAATATATGGGTTGCACTGACCAAAGAGCACAGCCGTAGTTCAACCCTATTTCGTTTACCCCTCCCTTTTCTTCACCATCCTTCCTTTCTAGGTACTCCAATCGACACCTCGTCGAAAGGCAATCGCGCGCGTGATTGCCTTGAGACGGACGATTGACCACACTGACTTTCGCCTCGGCTCTTGCACGCCTTGTTATCATGTACCTTTTCCACTCGACCTACCCCCGACCACAAGTACATCTGGATACGGAAGAGGTCAGAATCCGCGCCTGGAATCTGGTAGACCTTCGCATACTTTTGCCAAGGCTGGAGCCTGGTGACTGATGCGGCGCAGCCTTGGCCGATTACATTATAATCGGCTTGGTCCATTCCATTCAAATGCAAGACCGGTCCTCTCTTTTTTATTCCACCTTTTCCAATCCAAGGAATCTCGGTCATGGATGGTATAACGTGCAGGTCGCCCACGCTGCAGCAAAGGCTATCGTGGGAACGCGAAGAGCAACGCCCTCGCCCTATCGACCAATCCCATCGTCAATCTCTGTCAGGAACTCTACACTACGACTCCGATGCTCCAACGGATGTCAAGAAGGCAAAAAGCCAGTCACAGTCCCCACTCTTCCAGCTTCCAACCGAGCTCCGACGAGCCATATACGCCGAGGCAGGCTTGGTTAACAACACCACGATACACTGCTTCACATACTCACGAAAAATTTACGGCAAGCTGTGCACGCTTCCACGGAACGGCAGAATACTATATTACGACGCAAACGTAGACAGATACTGCAGCGCGTGCGCAATCAAGAGAATTCAAGCCTTAGATTGCCGCCCACGGTCCTTTACCGAGTACCCCCCGCAAGGGACGTCACCCTCCATCGTACCGCTGCTACAGACATGTCGAAGACTGTAGGTCCAATGAATCCACGCAGTCTCTACGCCACCATGCTTTCCTTCCCCCCCTCCAGGCCGAGATCCCAGCTCACCACCAACACACTCTCACTCACTCACAGCTACACCGAAGCCATCCCAATCCTCTACGCCGAGAACACCTTCTCCTTCACCGACCTCTGGACCCTCATTGACTTCCTCACCCGCTGCATTCCGGCCGCGCATGCCGAGAAGATGCGCTCGCTCGACCTCACTTGGACCCTCTTCTACTGCCCCGGCCATACCCTAACCCCCTCGGTCCGTCTGAGCGTCATTGCCTCGGGCACCCGCGGCTGCGGCGGCGGCCGCCATGGTGGGCCGGCGCCGCACAACGTGGCGACGTGGCGCGAAGTCTGGTCGTGCGTCTCGTCGTCGCTGCCGGGCCTGCGTCGGGTGCGGCTTGATCTGTCGGATAGATGGCTCAACGGGGGTTGTTTCTGCAGCAGCAGCAGCAGTGACGGTAGGCCAGGTGGTGTGGCGGTGATCAGGCTGTATGACGGGGATCCGAAAGCGCTGTGGCTGGAGTGGCTGCGGCCGGTGGGCAGCGCACTGGCTTTGCCAAGGGGCGGTCGTCAGGTCAAGGTCGAGGGCGCGGTTTGGTGTAGGCTGGACGACCCGGGGTCGGTGCATGCGGTCATTAGAGGTGATGGGGGGGAAGGGGGTAGGAGGTTGTTGGTGGTCCTGCCGGATGGGGAGGAGATGGAATGGTGAAGGAGGGCGGATGTAAACCTGGCATTTGTCCAATATCTAAACGCCCGGGCCAGCCTGGCGTTCAAGTGAATGTATGTATTTTGTATCGTTCCCGCGACTACTAGTGGTGCCACGGCGGGGCGAGCCTAAACCCCGGCCGCCGCCTCCATCCGTCTCCAGCTCCACTGCTCTCCCATCACAAGTGTCAATGGCAACGACAACACAAAGAACTGGGCGCAGACGACGGCACGACACGCACGATAGACCACGGTAGCCGAGGCATCACATCGCCCCAGAACCTCAGTCTCATGCCTCATGCGGTGCTTTGATACTGCTCAAACTTCATCCTGTCCAAACCGTCAGAGAGCATGTCGGTTTGGGCTTTGCACCCCATGCCCTGCTGCCCAGTTGGATCCCGGGCATGGGCTTCGTTGGATCGACCTTGTTGTTGAAATAGGAGACAAGAGTCCCCTCCTTCCGTCTTTGGGCTAGGCAGGGCCGCCCATGGACTCGATGTTTGACCAACACCCGCGACACCACCTTCTGCCAAAACTTCTGTGGTGGATTGGGCTCACGCCGGCGTGCCATTGGGTTAGTAGAAATGTCCACGGTCCGACAGCATCCCCCCGGTCCTTGCGTTTGTTGACGAACAGCGACGGCTGGGTGGTCACCGCCGGAAAACAATCTGGAATCAGTATAGAATAATTAAGTTTGATACCGAAGATATTTCTAGTCTAGCGCAGCGGCAAATTACCAAAATACCCAAATTTTTTGAAATAACTTCTAAAACACTTATATTCTTACTAAGATACCTAGTTTTTTCTAAAAAAAAAAAGAAAATAGAATTATAGCCACTTTATTTTTATAAAGAAATTTTAAACTAATAATTTAACTGCTTTATATACTTTATTTTATAAACTTTAAATTTTTTTAATAACTTTTATAGTCTAAAAAAACTAATTATTAAAATAATATATTTTAATTATTAGCTTTACTACTTTTATTTAAGATTAGTAAGTAAATATTTTATACTTAAAATAATTATTATTTATAAAAATATAGTTAAAGCTTAAGTTATTAGCTATTATATTTATTAAATTATTACTTAAATTAGTTTTATATTATTATAAGTATAGTAAGCTAGTAAGTTATTTAAATCTATTTACTATTTTATATATAAATCTAAGATAAGTAAAAAAAGTTTTTTTTAAAAAAATAGATTAGAATTTAATTAGAGAT